CCTAAATAAATTCTTTCACCACTAAGCTACACTGTTCTGTAGCTGGTGTTTAATGTCACTATGTGATCCAATAGTATTATTGGTTCTTTATCATCTCAGGACAGCCATTTCAGTACTTATATATGAACTCATTTACAGTTTTACTTTCTGTATGTTCAAAGATGTGATGAGCAAGGTCTACATGAACCACAGTTATTGGCAATATATTAGGTTAGCTCCAGTGCTAAGGTGTTTGTGGAAAGAGTTTCTTGATGTTTCTTTATGTCTAAATAGCATGCCATGAACCTTTAGTGACTTTATCACTTTTTCCTCCAGATAAATGATGGAAGTGCAAATAACAATGTTGGGAATTGTTTTAATCAAGCATTTACAATATCCTCTCTCCTCTGCAAATCTGTTGTTATTGTTATTTTAGTGGTGATACTTCTTGTTTCAGTTTTCCTCCCATAATGTTATAAATGAATGAATCTTGGAAATGCAGAGGGAGCATTACAAGAATTATACAAATAACTAAAGAGGTGAGGAGACAAAGGGAAAGAACACTTTAAAGACTCCAAAGGGAAAAAGAAATCCATGTGTAGTTTGATTTTTAAGGTGAGATATTCATCTGTTCCTAATTTATCCACCCTAATACAATCTGCCCTATTCAGCTCATCATTTATCCAGCATCCTGATGCATGGATAAATATTGCTACCTATGTACTCTGTGAATGCAAAGGTAGTTTATAATTCCCCTGAAAGGTTTTATTAATAGTACAGTGTTAACCACCTTGATCTGAGTCATAACTAATTGTTACTCTATATTTGTGAAACCCAAGGAAATGAAGACAAGAGGAGGCAGAAGATGGGAAAAAATCCCACCCTGGAGTTAGGTGTATTAAAAGAATAAATTCTTTTAGTCTAAGCAGGAAGCTGGTAATACTTGTTACTGTAGTCATTCTTTAAAACAGTTTTTCAGATATTAAATTAGAAATCTTCACTATGCTCTAGCTGTTAACAGAAACCACCTGAATTTCTGGATGGAAATCCAATGGAAAGAGAATTATAATATCTGGAAACCTATGTAATGGCATGTTAAGTTTTCCATTGATTGGTTTCAGCCCTCATATTCCCTTTTCATTTTTAAAATATACTATTAAGGAGAGGTTGAGAGGTGAGCAAGTTTGACATCTTACCCATTTGTTGCTTCAGAACCTATTACAGAAAAATATATCTCTTAGTTTTAAAGGAAATAAATCTAATCAGTAACATTAAGTTGTGTAATACACACCCTATTAACCTTGTGCTTCATGCTGTCTCCAAAAAGCCTGCATAGAAAGGTGGCACAGCAGATCACTAGCAGGACCAGGAGAGAAACCTGAATATGCAAAATATCACTCAAAGTCCCTGTATTCCTTCATCAGTGTGCAGACTTTGCAAGAGATGAAGTCCAAGAGAGATCTGGCAACAAAACAGAGGGAGTTCTCTGAGTATAGCTGCATGAATTGGGCAGGAGAAAAATCCTGGTAAACAGTAAAAAGCCCCAGTAAATAAACATAAATTTACTGCTCTGAATTCTCTGAACCCCTCTGAACCCTGACAGTGGCAATTCGTTCCCAAAGAATACCTATTTGTCATTCCACCCACTGCTGTGCTATAGCCGACACTGAAAACATATTAGGAAAGTGTACGTAATGTTCAAGGCATCTTCAGGCTCTTTCAGATGCAGGAAAATCCAGACTGGTTGCTCAACCACCTTTTCTACCAAAACACCAGCTGGAGAGAAGCTCCTAATTATTTGGAACTCAGTGTGCTGGTATGAGCTTGAACAGATGAAGACTAGACAGAGCCAAATTGCCCTTTTACACCACCTTAACATTGGTATAACATCACCAATTTAAACACCATTAAGTGACAGATGAGTAGGTCTGCATATCTGCATGTGATGTGCACAGGGAAATGAAAACTTTTTCTTTAAAGGGATCTTTAGGAACTGTTGTGGGCAGAGGAGTGGAGAGGAAACACAAAATACAAGATGGTCAAAAAAATGAAAACAAGCAGTTCACAGGGTAGGAGGAAGGCGGTTCATGAGGAGAACAGGACTCCCATGTTGAGAGACCTCTGTGCATAGTGTACTTCTCTTACCGTCATACCTGCAGTATGCAGCAAACACAGAAAAAATGCTGTGAGTATTTGTGATCAGTGATTTTTCATTCCTGAGTTGTGGAACGTCCAGGTTAAGCTGTGTGAGCATAACGTAAGCAATAACAATTCATTCAGGAAGCTGCAGAGGTTTTGGCGGCTCCTTCAAAATTAACACAAATACTTGGAGATTTAAGAGGTATGGATTAATTTTATTTTGTTTATGTTCATTTTGAACAATATTTTACCCTGTTATCACTTGATGTGAATTGATTCTTGGGAGAATTTTCATTGAATCTATTTAAGGAAATAGGAATTTAGAAAATTATCTTTCATGACTTGTAATGCTGCTGGTTTCACTTTTCCTTTAGCCTCTCTAGCACAGAATTGGCTGGATTGTTTTGAATTGGCTGATTATTTAGATTCATATAGCTCTAGGCAAAATATCAGGCACAGAATATGTATGTCATCCCTGAAACTACTGATAATAATGTTGTTAACATGACCTATCAGTCTTTATATTTTTCAGCAAGAAAAGCTAACAATTAGACCACTTCATTAGCAGAACACAACTGTAAGCCTCTGAAGTGTAAATTAAATCTCTTCTTGCTGCCTTTATCTGACTCTCCAAGCTACAGAGGGAGTATTATCAAATCATTTCTTTACACTGCAGAGTAGCGTTACTCTTTGGAAGATCTCCAGCAGATGCTGCAAGGAGTCCTTTAGGGGCAGCTCTCCACAATTCATGCTGCTTTCCTCTTAGTGACATGGAGTCAGAAGACTGTGCGTAGGCAGTATTTGATTTTCCTCCATTAAAAAGCCTTAAAGCTCCCCAAGTAGTCTTCTCTCCTCTAAGAAACCGAAGAATGAAAGCCCTAGTTCAATGAAATTGCCTTTTAATAATAGAATCATAGAATATCCTGAGTTGGAAGGAACCCACAAGAATCACTGAAGTCCAACGACCGGTTCTGCACAGGACAGCCCCAAGAAACACACCATGTGCCTGAGAGCACTGTCTAAATGCTTCCTGAACTCTTACAGCCTTGGTACTGGGAACACCTCCATGGGGACCCTGTTCCAATGCCCAACCATTCTCTAATTGAAGAATCTTTTCCTAATCTCCAACATAAACCTTCTCTAACACAGCATCCTACTGTTCCCTTGGGGCCTATCATTGGTCACCAGAAAGAAGAGAGCAGTGCCTGCCCCTTGTGAGGAAGCTCTAGACAGCTTTGAGGTTTCCCCACAGTCTCCTCTTCTGCAGGCTGAACAGACCAAGTGACCTCAGACACTCCTCGTTTGGCTTCCCCTCAAGGCTCTTGGCCATTTTCACAGCTGTCCTTTGGACATTCTCTAATTGTTTTACATATTTTGTAAATAGTGGTGCCCAAAACTGCACACAGAACTTCGTGTGAGGCCGCCCCAGTGCAGAGCGAAGCGGGGCAATCCCCTCCCTCGACCGGCTGGTGATGCTTTACCTGATGCCCCCCAGGACATGGTTGGCCCTCCTGGCTGCCAGGGCACTGCTAACTCATATTCAACTGGCCATTGACCAGGACCCCCAGGTCCCTTTGCACAGCACTGCTTTCCAGCATCTCATTCCCCAATCTGTCCATACATCCAGGGCTGCCCCATCCCAGGTGCAGAATCTGACACTTGTCTTTCTTCATAGGGTTGGGGATTGCCCAGCCCTTTTAATTTGTCGAAGGGTCTCTGTGGGGCCTCCCTGCCTTTGAGGGGGTCAACAGCTCCTCCCAATCTACTACAACTGGCAAACTTGTTTAGTGTTCTATCCAAGTCATTTATGAAGATGTTGAAGAGAAGTGGGATTAAGATGGAGTCCTGTGGAACTCCACTTATGACTGACTGGTCACCAGTTTGATGTTACCCCATTTGCTAAAACCCTCTGGGCCTGACCCCTGAGCCAGTTGCTCACCCACCGCACGATGTGTTTATCCAGCTGTGGGCTGGACATTTTGTCCAGAAGGATACTGTGAGAGACAGTATCGAAAGCTTTACTGAAATCCACAAAGATTATATCAACTGGCTTCCCTTAATCAACTAGGTGGGTTACCTTGTCATAAAAGAAAATTAGGTTTGACAAGCAGTACTTTCCCGTCTTGGAGCCATGCTGGCTGTGACTGATGACTGTGTTGTCTTTCAGGTGTTTTCCAATACCTCCGAAGATAATCTCCATAATTTTACTGGTCACTGCAGTGACACTAATAGGCCTTTTAATTTGTCATTCTTCTTGCTCTTCTTGAAAACTGAGACAATGTTAAATCCCTACCCCATCAGCTGGAAGCCTAAAGAATAGACAACAGACTATTTTTTTTCAGGGACTGTAAACAGATAAATATGAATTCAGCAATCTGTAATTTAGAATATAAACTTAGCACTATACCCCTACTAGCATTAATCAATATACTTGTTGATTTACGTAGAAACAATACAGACAATGTACTGAATACAATATTCAGGATATAAGAGTTTCACCTGTGGAGAATTTATAGCCCCTGTGTATGCCAAGAAAAAAATGTTGTCATTATACACAGAACTGCAATGAAACTTGTATTATCAACCAGGCAAGAGCATGTCATGTATTTGAGTTCATAAAATTGGCATTTTTAATAAAAGGTGTCAGCTTAATTTAGAGCTTAAGCAGAGAACATAGACAAATATTTTCCAATTCATTAGGCCACAGGGCCATAGCATGGAAATAAATTCTTCTGATGAATCCTGTCACCACATTGTAATTCCAACCCTGCCATTTTCTGAAATTAAGCAGACCCATGCCACCCTTTGCTCTGCTGATGAAGCTCCAAATGTTTCACAAGAGTTTCCCAGGGCAGGTTGTGATGTTGCATCATAGTGGAAGCCATCTCACAGGATGCGCACGGGGAACGGAAGGGGTGTTTTGCCCTGAGTAAGTGGTTTGAGATAAGTTGTGAGCTCATGAAACAGGAAAACAAGCTATTTTCAGTTTATGCTCTCTGCCAGGTTCTCTTCTTGATGCCCACTCACATAAGCATAATTGTTCTGCATTTGTAGCACTGGAACAAGAGCAAGTTTTGAGGACCTGAATATAAGCTGTGGAAGCTGCCTCAATGTAAGGAAAAGGAAAGAAGAAAATCCCAAGTAAGCACTGCAGCTTCTGTATGTTTGGGAGGGAGGAATTCTATCATGTGCTGCCTGTTGGAGGGGTTTCCCTTCTTTATTGTGCCAACTGGCAAATCTCTTACTGAAACTTCTCTCAGTTTTCAGTATTACTACCAAAAATCAGTTGGCAGTTGTAATCCTTTTGTTTAGATAATTGCAATCCACTGTAGAACAAAAGATTTACATCATCTGCAAAAGTATTCCAGTTTGTAGAAAGTGTATGGAATTTTTTGTTATTGTTGACATTTTCTTTTCAGCCATTCATATTTCTAAAGGAGAAAAATTTCTTGGTGCAGCTTGCCTGGTGATTGCATTCAGGTTAGATATTTAGAAACAAATATTGCTAAGCTATAGCACTGTTGCTAATGGTAGGTGAAGGTTGTCTTGTGTCATGTGAACTGGTCAGAGGGATGGGCACATACCATTTGCATTTTCCCTCTTTTTATGAAACAATACACTGTGAATTGGAGAACACTTCATTTAGCATAAATTGTGCAACAAATGGCTTGCCTAAGGGAAACAGAGCACACAGCTTAACCACAATAATTAAAAATATTTTTTTTGTTTTCAGATCTGGCTAATAATTACACACTGAATGGTGTCTTTGTCAGCCTCTTCTGCATAAAATGTCTACATGCTGTTATTTGTGAAAATATCTTTGCTCTCCTGAGACCCCACTTGGAGTACTACATCCAGGTCTAGGGTCCCCAGCACAAGACATGGACCTTTTAGAGTAAGTCCAGAGGAGGCCACAAAGATGCTCAGAGTGCTGGAGCACCTCTCCTATGAAGACAGGCTGAGAGAATTGGGATTGTTCAGCCTGGAGAAGAGAAGGCTCTAGGCTGACCTTACTGGAGCATTTTCAATATATAAAGGGGGTTCATAAGAAAGGCGGAGAGAAAATTTTTACCAAGGCTTGAAGTGACAGGATAATGACCAATGGTTTTAAACTGAAAGAAGATAGATTTAGGCTGGACATAAGGAAGACTTCTTTTTTACTGTGAGGTTGGTGAGAAATTGGAAGAGATTGCCCAGAGAAGTTATGGATGCCCCATCCCCGGCAGTGTTCAAGGCCAGGCTGGATGGGGCCCTGATCAAAAGCGGGGCAGTGAGTGGTATCCCTGCCCATGGCAGGGGGGCTGGAACTAGATGATCTGTAAGGTCCCTTCCAATGCAAACCATTCTAATAATTCAAATAATTTTGTAATTCTATGATTCCATGAAAATTGGATTTTTCTTCCATTTATATCTGCCAAGATACTGGGTTCAAAGGGAAAACCATGTGATCCAACACTGGGCACAGTTGTTCTCCATTCTGCTGCCCAACTGCCTTGGTCTCTGTGTGAATTCAGTCATTATCTAGTAATTATTAGAGAAATTGCCCTAACTTGATATTAAGAGAGAAACTATAATTGAGTGGAAACAAGAAATTAAGGTTCAACAATGAAAGTGTCTTGGAGAGTGAATTTGGAATTAATCTTCCAGTGGGTTTACAATGTGTCCACAAAAAATAGTACCATATACACAAATTTTTTTCAGTTACTCTGTTTTAGAAACTAATAATATAAGAAGATTTTGCAAAATTTAGAAAATTTGAGTATATGTTTCATATAATTCTCTCCTACGATGAGGAAATGAAAGAAAGTTTATGTGTCAAATTATTGTCTCCCACTATCTTTTAATGAAAGATTTGGTTGCCGAATAAAATTTTCAGATCAGAAACAGTGCTAAGTACAAAGCTCATGCTTCTTCCGAAAGTGCTTTCCGAAGTAAAAGTTCTTCTATTATTTCACTTGGCGTAGATTTTTTCCTAAAGGTTTGTCACAAGAGCTTTTTAATTTGCTCCATGATTTTAGTGCCATGATAATGGAAACATAAAAGTAACATGTCTGTGGTTGCAGTATTTACCAGTGCTAAGTAATACAGTTATCCTCATAAGTATTGTAACTTCTCTTGTTGCACAGATCTAAATAGCATTACACATATCGATCCTCCAGAAAGTATTGTTAGCTAGCCTACAGTAGAATAGCCACTGAATTTTACAGTACTCAACCTAAGAATATTATTTACGTTCCATTGTTACAGAAATAATGGACTATGGCTCCCGGTTAGCAGGATTCCTAAGTGAATAATTAATGCTTGCCATTGATTCTTATTAAAATCACTAAAAGTATGCAAATTCTTAAAGCTCTGTATTTTAAAATATTTTCCTGAGTCAGACTTATATACCTTAAATAAGTATTTTCACTGAAACTAGTAACAACTGGGTAGGAAAACAAACTGCAGTAATAACCATATTTTTTCCATAAGTGGTATGTAGGGACCCTATACTTGCCTTACATGTCTATATTTTTTTGTTCTGTTCAACTCTTTTGCAAAAGAGTTGGTGTAGCTGTGCTAATATACTTTTTTTGTGGGAACAGTTTTAAGTAAGGAGATCTTTAGTTGTTCCCTCTTAAAACAGTAAATAGGTACTTCCATCTTGAAGCAAGGAATGTCTGGTTTTGGTTGGTTATATTTTTCTATCCCCCAGCCAACATTCAACCTCAAATATGCATATGCATTATGTATAGTGTTTAGGGTTTGCTTAGTAGAAAGCACGAGTTATATATTCAGTTTTGCCACAAAATAGAAGTCCTTTCTTCCAAAGGAATGTCCACATTTCTGCTATGCCGACTGGCTGAAGGGCATATGTTTGTTTGCAATTTATGTGTTTTGTTTTGCTTTTTTTAAATTTCATCTTTCTGTGATAGTTTGTAGTGAAGTTTTTCCATTTTCTAGTTCTAAATACTTCCTGGGACAAACTAATAGGATGTAAGAAGGAAGATTGTCTTATTCAGTAGCCAAAAATAAACATAATTGGAAATTTGTGGAAGGTCATCTTATTGGCCTGGATTTGGATTCAGATTTGTAGTTGTTGTTGATGTGGTGGTGTCTCCTGTAGCATCAGGCAAGTAGGTGGAATGGGGCAGGTGGTATAGCTAATTGCCTTAGTGTTTATCATGCCTTGCATGAGGTTTTTAATATCAAGACACAAGATGAATGGATCATTAAGAGTTTGGCAAGAGTGTTTTGTGGGAAGAGTAGCCTAGGAGGAATACCACTGTGATAAGCACAGCATAAAATATAAAGATAAGCAGAAGAGAGAGCTTACAATGGCAAAACACACTATTTGTATCAGCTTAAGCTTCTGAACTCATAGTTTGTAGAAATGAAAGCAGTAGTTATTATCTGTCTGGGATCTGCTTGAGTCACTGAACTCTTGTGTCCACAGCCTGTGTGTAGACAGAATTTTCATTGCTTTTCATCCAATTGTCAGCAGAAAAGAAATTTTAGGGCGCTGTCAGGACATTTAGCTTGCTGGATTGCATTCACTGAGGTGATTTCCCAATATGTGATATGAAGTGGTTGGTCATTTCAAATTCTTTTTATTCTCTCACTATCACTACTAATTAAGAGGACTTAATCCTCAAAATATTTTACATATTTTGAAGTAATTTCTCAGCTCTGTTTTTATCTCTTTAGTCGAGCAGTATAGAGGGACCCAATCCAGATGTCTGCTAGAAATCTTCTGCTGGATGTTACAGATGCATTTAGGAATCTCCAGCATAGCAAGATCTGGTAGAGCATAACTACAGTCTCCCTGCCTCTCCTAGGTGCCCATGCAGAAATCCCCCATAAGCCTCCACAAAACATCTGCTTGTGCCACTGTTTGGCAGCACATATTCATTCCACAATTCTTGCTACCAATGTATTGTTTAGGCATTCTTCTTATGGGTGGTCAATGGCATTTTCATGCAAGTCACTCTATGTCTGTAATTCTAAAGAGGACATTGCTTAGTTCAAACTTTCTGAGAAGAACATTCCTAATAAATTCTGAAAAAGTGTAAGTCTTTCCTTTATCAAAAATCTCACTTTGTGCTGGTATAAGTGTTGTTTTGTTTGGGGGGGGTGTGAGATTGTTTTTTTTAGACCTTTTTAGTTACCTTATAGTGAGCATTCTTGCTCTGTTATCATACGCAGTAGGGTTTAGAACAGTGAATGCTATTCAACTTAATATTTATAAAAACGTGCTTCTTGAGTAGTTCCTCATTCAATTTTAAGGTTACACAGGCAGAACATATCATACAGTTGGGCTGAATATAATATCCACTGAACTGCTTGTGAGATACAGGATCAGAACCTCACCAAGTTATTGATATGGGTCAGAACCAACTCACTGTCACTGTGTGTGTGCGTGTGGGGAAGGGCTGGCCCCAGACCTGCAGGAACATGGTAAGGCCTGCAACATAAGGCCTGTTGAGGGCACAGGGCAGAGCCGGAAGGTCCTGTAGCCGACATGGTGGTTCAGCCCACGCAGAGCCCATGGCATCACTGAAGGCGGTGCAGCCGGGCTGTCAGTCAAGGCAGACCTGCCCGGTAGCCCACCCACACCACGCCCCTGGAGCCTGTGACTGCCTACAGCACAACTCACTCTGGCCTGGGAGGCACTGACTGGATATCCTGCCTGGGAGGGAAAACTGCTCTCTGCAAATACACGAGACTCCACGTGAGCTCTGTCTCTCTCTTTTCTCCTGCTGCCTGCACCATGTGAACCATCAGATCTTGTCGGTAACCATTTTTCCTGTCCTCTCTCTACTTCTCTCTTTCTTTATCCTTTTAGCCTGTTTTCTTCTTTTACTCTTTTCCTTTCCTTGTGGGTAACTTAAAACCAATGAACTGTGTTTTACTAAAGGTGGTATATTGATTATTTGTAGTGGTTTTTTTCTGTGAAATGTTTTTTTTGTGATGAGTGTTTTAGTGAAATATTTTTTCTTGATTGTATTTTACTCCTGTAAAACATTTTGCCAAAATATCTTATTTTTCTCACTAAATTAAAAGACTTTCCCTTAGAGAAGTGTGTGACTCTTTCTCTGGATGCGAATTTGAGGTTAAAATGAACTAAAAGGCTTTTAAAAAGTCTTAAATAAAATGTAACCACTCTGGGCAGGTTATGGCTTAAAATCTGAAGTGTAACACATATATTTAGGAAGTACATGTCTATGTGGTCTCTAGATCTCTACTCTTTCTCCATCTTTCCTCTTCCTACAGTCACCAACTCACCTCTCCTAGTTTTGGTTTTAATGAATCATTTCTATCATTTCAGAGATTCACACAATGTTCTGAGTTGGAAGGGACCCACAAGGATCATCACGTCCAACTTTTAAGTGAATTGCCCATACGGGGATCAAACCCATGACCTTGGTGTTATTAGCACTATGTTCTAACCAACTGAGCTAATCTCAAGGTCCTCTTGAAGATAAAATTTGGGACTCATTTTTTTCCTTTTTTTTTTTAATTAAAAAAAAAAATCCTAGCTTTTGTGCTTTTGAGACAGGTACTCTATTTATAGCCATCTACTTCATTTCATATGCTTTAAATTAAATCCGTCCTGCACAGCTACACAGGATTATACAGCATTTATGACATTTTGACTTACTGAGATCATAAACAGTAACAGAAATAGTAGAAGAATCACAGCCCCAATGAAAACAACTGGAAATAGGAGCAAAAATGTGCAACAAACTGAACAACTGACTGCAGTCCCCATTCCCTGTCCCTGACCTGAACTAAAGGAGAGGCAGAGCTAATTCAAAACTGCAGTTGAATAAATAATCTGTGAAAGATAAAAAGCAACCCTTTGAAGTTATAAAATATAACTCTTGTTTTCCTTCCTGACTGTCTTGGAGGCAATTCTCCTGTCAGTTCATTGGAAATGGCTAATCTGCATATTTTGGTATATGAATTGCTGGCAACTATGTTTTGCATAGTTATTTAAATGAGAAAAAGGTTAGCTGAGTAATTGAATGTAATAAGATTCTCCATTGATGATAAACACAGTGGGCCATAGGCCCAAGCTGAGAGGAAGAACTGACCTTAGAAAGCAGTTTTACAGTGCTAGTATTAATGTGTAGTGTAGCAAACACCGACTGGGCTCTGTTTCTCATATTCAGAGAAGGAGAAACAATGTAGCATCATGTTATCTGGTGTGAAAATACTATACTCCAATTTAACTTTGATTAGTATGATCCTAGTGAACAGAAGTCAGGTCAGATCAATTTGAGACCAAAAATTGTTTCTCAAGCCCACCTCAAAATGTTAAAGCTGCCTTTGCCCTCACAAGGGTATTTTTGAGGATTAATGTCCTGTCAGCACTTTGAAAATGTAAAGTGCTAAGTATATATTATTATAACCCTTTCCATTTATTACTTTTATTGATGGTCTTGTGGTTTCCATGACGCTATGTTGATTTGAACAGGATTTTCCTGCAGTGTGCATTTCATCCCACGAAGAGTAAAAAAACAAATAGTTCTTTTTAGGCCTTGTGCCTTGTTGGATAATATCCAGTTACTGGGGGACTTGTTTATGACCCACTATCTCTGTGCTGTGAAAGCCTTACTGCAATACATTATGCAGCTGTTTGTTTTCAACTTTGTTTTCTCAACTGTATAAGCTCTCTGCTGCTACTGAGATCCATGTGCTGCTCCTAACTGACTCCTAAGGGGTTCCTGAGTGAAAAGCAGACTCACCACCCACTGGACTTCTGTATTTTTTACAGTAGGTGCCTTTTTCTCATAGCTGTTCTACTGTGTTCAAGGAGTGGGGCTGAAGCTAGGCTTGTCAATCACTGGCAATAAGGGAATATCTTGCTTGTTGAAGTTCAGTCCAGTTTTTACTGCATCCTGTGACATTGGCATTACAGCCAGACCTCCTGGTGGCCAGGCTTTTCTCAGGAAAATTCCGAATTTTATTTCAAAATTTTAGATTTACACTTTGGATCTGTAACATGTCTGTCTAACTCCCAGCCAAGTCCCCAGGCGACATTTACTTTTGGAGCAGTTTGCCTCCTCAGCTCTGCTTTCCTGCAGGCTTCAGGGATCAAGTTAGTCCAAGAAAAGCCACAGACATATGAGCCATATGTGCCTCTTGCTTCCTCCTCTGTTGAGAATCTCAGCAGGAAGGTTAGCCCTGATCTGTCAACAGTGTTCCCTTGGCCTACAGCCTCAACCAGGTAGGTTTTCCTTGGCCCTCATGTCTCCTTAAGAAAAGGCATAAAGAGAGTTGAAAGCCACAGCTGCAGGACAGCCAGGCCCCCTCTTACAAAAGGCCGTGTGGCAGGGCAAAAGTGCAGCAGGTTGTGCTCAAATGTATGGATGATTTGCTATACAGTGCAGACACAAAAGCTGTCCAAGTCTGTGTTGTTGTCATGCCTCTGACATCTTTAGGGCCTGCACGAGCTGCCGTGCTTGTAACTGTATCTCTCTACACCTTTCTCCCCAGAGGTCCAGGATGCTTGGGGGGGGGACAAAGCCAGAACGTGTTGCAAAGAGTCTTGGACCTACCACCTCTTTAACCTGTCAGGTACCCTGCTGAATCATCAGCAATGTCAGTCAATCACAGACTGACATTTTCAGGAGAAACACAGACCCACCTTTCTTCTGGGAAATACAGGGGGGTTTGTATCACATAGAACAGCAGAAAAATGTAGGTTGGAAGGGACCTTAGAGGCTCATCTAGTCCATTCTCCTATTCAAGTCCAAGAAAGGCCCATTAGTTAGTATTCAGCCATGTGGAGCATACAATATGGGTTCTTTACCAAAAATCTATACTCAAAATTTTTTTAGACCATTTTCTTAGCTTAGTTTTGCTCTCTTGTTCAACCTAAGGAGAGAATAGAGTACAGAGAGAAGAGGGGAAGGGAGAGAAAGCTGATAATGCAATCAAGAATGTTTTGTTTAGCACCTTTTGGAATAAAGCAGGAGTGATCAATATTGAAACAGCAAAACCTCAAACGTGATGATTCCTCTAGACCTACAGCTCTCCAGCTCTGTCAAAGCAATTTCTTCTTTTATTGGGAGAAAGCCCAGCTGTCCATGCTAGAGAAAAGAGTAAAATGTTCTAGTTCTTACAAGGCTGATAAAAAATAATCAAACGGCCAAAGGCTTGAACTTAGCTTAGAAGTCTGTAGCTCCTTGTTCTTTATAAGGAAAAACAGCAAGAGTTTCCTGACACACCTAAAAGATGTAATACATCTAGTTTATGTGCCTAGTAGCTGCTGTATGCCCTTCTCAAGCTGTCACTGAAGTCTTCTATGGCCTCATGCCCACAGTAGTGGTCCCAGTTTGATGCCATATCTACTTGGAATAGCTTGTCTCCCTCCTTCTGTGTCCACTCCACATGTGTGTGATATGGAAAGGGACAGAAGTCCAGGCACTGGGAAAAAACGTGGACAAAAAGAAGCCTCTTTGGCGCCTGTTCTTGGTATCAAAAAGGAGAGGGAGGTCAGTAAAGCAATGACTGCTCAGGACACTTTGGGCACTGCCGCTTCCACAGAGATCGTGTCCCATCACAGTGCTCAAAGTGTCTGACGCAGTTCCCATCCAAGTCAGACAAGCATAATAAGCTTTATCTTCAAGAGGAACTGTCCTGCTTCTGATGGAGAGTATGTCCTATCTCTGTGTGTACTGTCTGCTGAAAGAGAAGAGAAACACTAAGACACATACAGGAGAATTGCATGTAGAGGTAGCTTTCTTGCACAGCTTCAAGGGGTGGCAGCTGACATCTTTGCCTATCAGGACAGTCAACAAAGAGCACATGTAACCCATCTGTAACTTGTGACCTCACATGTGAGTTGATAAATGATATAAAGTTCAGAAAGTTCCTTGATCTGTGTGTTCGTAGTCTATGTTTTCCATTGTTCCTCGAAGTGATGCTGAGATAGCAAAGAAACCCAGATGCGATGTATGCCATGCTGTCTCTGGGATTATGACTGTCAGATCAGGGGAAAAAAACCAGATCTTTAATCTTAGACATGCCAAAGAAGAGAAAAGGATTCCTATTCCCTCCAGGACCAGATAGAATTACAAAAGTGTGTAAAGGAAGTAATATTACTCTATGAATCCCAATAGGAAAAAAAAAAAAAAGGAAAAATATAGAATATATTTATATAGAATATATTTTCTGTGTAATTCTAAGGCCATTTTTTCAGTAATATATTCTAACCAGTGTTATGAATTCTCCACAAACAAACACAAATGTTTAGACAGAAGGCTCAAATCTCTTTCAAGAAAAAGAAACTATCTACAACTTGGAATATTAAAGACAATATCCTTAGGATATTGTTCATGTGTGTCAAATCCTGAAATGTCACAAAAGAGAACATTTAACCTTCTTTACTACCTAGAGTAAACCTTACAGTGGGTAGCTCTATATTTCTTGTGCTGTAAGAACACCTTCTCTAACAGGACTCTGTCATGTACTGTTAACTCTGGCGCCTGATCTTCA